ATTAGAGGGTATATAAAAACCGGCGGCTAAAGCTTATTAATTGCCTGGCACATAATGCTCGGCGATAATATGTGCTATCTCCGCCTGGCCTACAATGTACTGTTTTACTTAGAAAGTCAGACTATTAGCAAGATTGGAGAGTTTTATAACAAGAGTTATTCTGACAAAATAAGACTTTCAGCTATAAAGCGATCAAAATAATTATTCGGAATTCAGAGATTTTGTATTTTGTTATTAAGTAAGATTCTCTCAAGTGGACCCCCCACTTCCCACTTGATGGTGGAATTTAAATTAATATATTTTAATATAAAGCATAAAACCCTGAAATAGATTTCAGGAAAACTGTTCGAGATATTTTAATGAAATTTTTAGGATTTATTGTTTAAAATTCACATTTTGAAAAATAATTCAAAATTTGAAATTATTTATTTATTATCATATTTTTAATTAACTTTTTAATAAACAAATGAAAATTTCTTCCTCAAATTATAATTTGGTTTTTTTTCAGTTACACTTACATGATATATTCTGCAAGAAAATTCCACTGCCCGCTATTAGTTTAAACCACTATTGGTTTAAACAATATAAATTTATTTATCCTCGAGCTATAGCGCGACTCTGCCTCCGCTCCAATCAGTATTAATATACAAAAAAAAGTTTATATACAAAAGAAAAGAAAAAAACTGTCTTTTACAATAAGAAACAATATTATTTAACAAATTTAATTTTTTTTAATTTAATAATTATAACAAATTAATATAATATTTGTTATTGTTTATAATTAAATACTGTAAAAATGAACTAATAAATAAATGAAATATAAATTTCCCAGCGGCATCTTAGTTACTTTTTTATTTTTCCTTGAAAATTTGATTAGTTCTTAGTTTTCTATCAACCGAAAAAAGCTTACACGGAAGTGATACACCGTCTAAAGCTTTATAATAGTGAAACTGGCAGATATTTTTTTATAGTAACAGATTGTTGAAATCTTAGTTTGTGTTTAGTTCGTGAGAATGATTCATAAAAAAATTAAAAAAGTAAGGTGATGTTGGGAAATTTATGTTTCATTTATTTATTCGTTAATTTTTACAGTCTTTAATTATAAATAACAAATATTATATCAATTTGTTATAGGTAATTATTAAATAAAATTAAATTAAATTTGTTAAATAATATTGTTCCATTTGAGAGCAAAAACAAAAAGCAATTTTAACATTAAATTCGTTCTTAATTGTGATGAACTAAATTTGCAAAATTATATTTATTTTTATATTGTGCAGCTGCTCCGTCAGAAAAGTAAGAAATTTTTTTAATATTATAAATTCCGAATTTTGAAAAATTTAAGTAACTTTGAATTGAAAAGATAAACCAAGATGACGTAATTTCATGTTTTAATTCTTCATTCTCTCGATAATACACTGCGTAGTGGTGAAGTGTAGCCTGATTATTCGACCAATGATCACGTGATAATTTTAAAAAAATTACTCAAGACGCAAGCTTAGTTCATCTTTTTAATTTAAAGTTAATTGAATTTAAAAAAAATAAATTCAGAGCTTATAATATTAAAAAAATGTCTTACATTTCTGACGAAGCAGTTCACATATTTATAAAAATAAATATAATTTTGCAAATTTAGTTAGAAAATACACATTTACGAAAACGTATAACAAAAAATGCACACATTCGCCGGAAAATGTATGATCTTTCCTTTATCCATAGGTAACTTTGTACATGTTTTGGTTTAAAGTGTCCATATTCAATTGTTCACTTTTACCGGAAAATGTACACATTTACCGAATTCGTACTTTTTCTATAACATACGTATACGTATTTGAACTCATTTAAGTTTAATGATTCAACTGTTAGAATAAACTAATTTTTCTGCCATTCTCCATAAATTCTAAGCCATTACTCTGCCGTTTCTCTGGCACTATTTTTTATTAGAGAAACCAGCACCGGATTTAGGAGTATAGGGGGTCTATATATGTATATGCATAGCATACCTACGTAACGTAGGGCGCCCGACATGTTGTTAAGTGTGAGAAGCACACTTTGCAGAAATTGATTCTTTCCACTGATGGGATGCGATGTGGGCGTGAAGGGTTTTTAACATAAGAATATTTTTCTATTTTTACACTACGAACAACTATTCTTAGTTTAAAACTATACTAAATTATGACCAAACGATCCAAGATAAAATAACCGCGACCAACTTTGGCTCACAATATCTTTTGCGTTTAGTCAAAGATAAATTGATAGCATTAACTTTTCAAATATTGAAATTATCTTAATAATATTTTTGACAATGGCTGATAGTAATGCAACTGCGAAAAGACCATTTCCCACCCTGGCGAAAATGAAATGTGCAAAAAGTGTGCAAAATTATTTGAGAACAATGTGCAATCTTTTAAAAAAATGATGTGTGGAGGGTGGGAAATGGAACATGAAACAATGTGCATAAGTGTGAATAATCACTGGACAATGTTCTTGCCACCTATGTGCCTATAGGGCCATTCCACGCGTAACGGATAGGACAGTTGCCGTGTTTTTATTTACAAAATAATATTGTTCTATTATATTACCAATGTCAAATTTTTATAAATAGTTCTAAACTAAAGCTGTTTAACAAGGTTTTTATTTGGCAAAATTAGGTATCGTGGTTGACTGTTTAATTCCTTAAAAACTAATAATTTAAAGCGTAACGGACGGGACTTTGTAATAGTTTGAAAAAAAATAAACTTTTTGTTTTTCCCTGTATACTGATCAATTTTCCAATTTTCTTTATACGTAAAAAAAAAGGATTTTTTAGTTCCTACATAACCACACTTTTAAATTTTTTGGTACCCTTAAAATAAAAAAGTTAAAGGGGGGCGACATTATAGGGGATCACCCTGTACGTATATGCATAAGGAGTGAAAAAACTTAATTATTTCAAAAAGTGTGAAATTACCACAAAGTAGCGTGTATGCACATTGGTATAAAGACTTGCACTCCAAATACACACTTATTGCACACTTTTCATACACGCTTTATTTTCGCCAGGGCACTTTGAAGCGCACGAAAACATATATAAAAAATGCATTGAATGACAATAAAACCAGTTATTTAGCTTGTCTGTCAATCAACTGTGAAATGCTATTGAAAGATGACGTCAATATTGTGAAAAAATTGCTACTTTAAAAGTACGCAAAGTTCAGTTGGCAAAATGTTAATTACGTTAGGTATTTGTTTTTTATACAGTTTTTGTTTATGTTTTTTAGAGTGACAATATGTTTTTGACATTTTTTATTATTTCGGAGCTAACATGAAAAAAGTTAAGTTTAAAGTATTAAAGATGAAGGCTCCAAGTTTCTACTCAAAAAAATTGAAGAGTTCGAAGGAAGAACTATTAATATAAATACTATTTATTAAATAGTGGGAAGTCAAAGATTTTGAGAAAAAAAGTTTTGTTTTAGAATATTCTTAAGCGACCTCTAAAAAATACTTCAAACTTATTTTTTTTATGTGATCTCCAAAATCAAAAAAATGTCGAAAAAATACTACACCCCTAATGTTTATGGTTAAATAAAATGCTTTTGTTAAGAAGTGAAATTTCTTTGAATTTATTAGATAGTTAGGGGCGGAAATTTTTTATTAGACCCGAGGCGCAAAATTTTATAATCCGACGCTGAGAGAAACGGCAGAGTTTTCTTAGCCGTTTCTCTGCCAAACTCTGTCATTCTCCCCCGTTTCTCTACCGAACTCTGCCATTCCAAACTCTGCCATTTATAAGCCTATAGGCTAAAACTGAGCCGAAGGTTTAGTCGAAGCCTACTAGGAAATTTGGGGCGGCAGTTAGAGAGTGGTTAAATCATATCCCGGCAAATGGATTGGTAGAAGAGGTGCAATAGAATGCCCAGCAAGGTTTGAATCCCCTGGTCATTTAAAAATTGTTGTATATACAACTTCACCTGATAGTAAGGACCGGATATCAAAAGAATGCAGACTTCTTCGCAAACCTGGGCCTGTTTCCGTGAAGAATTTCAAGACAGACTAATGTCTAGGGAATAACGGAGAACATTTTGAGCAATTCATAAAGTAAACTTTTAAAAAATAATACATTTAATTTATAGCTTAAAAAAAATCAAAAAAACGTTTTTACTCTTGAAAAAAATAAATGTACACGGTAAATTTTGATAGAATAAAGTCTTGAAATTGAAATATCAAAAATTGGGGAACGGTATCTAAATTAATTTTCAGATATATCGTCGATTAATATATTATATATATATATTATTAGGACACCTTTTTTCTTCCAAATCTAGAACCAACAATTTTCCTACATAATTAGATAGAGAATTGAATGCCCTTCAAAACGAGGTTTCACTGGGGGTGCCATTTGAAATTCTAAAGTGGTGGTGGCTAGGGCGAGGGGATGAGCACTAGATTAAATTAAATAATGTGATAGTAGTTTCCCCTCCTTATATAATTTGATGAATTTTTATATTTTCTTTTGTTCCTCAAATTTAAGTTGTTTCGTTTTTAAATGAAAACCCTGTATATTAAAATCAATGTATGTTTGTTTATGCGTTTATAGATGGAGCGAATGTTTGGCCAAAGGATTTTTTATATATTTATTTAATAAAATCCTTTGGGTTCAGCAAAAGGTTTTAAAATATCCAAAAAAAATTCGGTCGGACACTAATAGAGCTCAAACAGCCCAAATAGGCAAAGAGGCGGCTAACAAATGCCAGAGAAACGGCAAAGAATAGAAGAGTTTGGCAGAGAAACGGCAAAGAAACCTCCGAAAAGGCAGAGTTAATGTAAACAAACGGCGAAAAATGGCAGAGAATGATAGAAAAAAAATTCCGCAGGTGTTACAATAATTGTAATTTTAATCCAATTTAATTACTCCAAACTACTAATTCCGAGTTACGTCAATATTTTATTGGGAGTGCGATATATAAAATAAACCAAAGCGTTTTCTTATGCATACCATCTGTGTACTTTTATTTTTGTAGATCCAACTAAAAATAGATTTTTCTAAAAATTTAGAGTTAGGCCAGATTTCCAACTCAAATTTATCAGTTTGTCTGCAAGATAATGGCACATCAGCACACTTATTCCACTTAAAAGGATTACAAAGCGGCCAAGCAAAAATTACTGTATACGCTGAAATTGACACTGGATATCCCAGAAATTGTGGACCGGAATCAGTAGTCAATAAAAGGTAAGTATTAATTATAATTATATTGCTTTTATTGAGATTACATACATTACATACATTTTAGAGATGTGGTGCAAAAATCATTTATTATTGAGCCAGAGGGATATCCAATTAAAGTTACCAAATCTGCCATTTTATGTAGTTCAGGTAGATATTTGATATTAGCATTAAGTCCTATCCTATAACCATATAAAAATTAATTTTAGGTGAAAACAACATTTCTTGGGAAATATCTGTTCCAGAAGATATTGTGCCAAACACAGATAAAGCTCATTTAGTTTTTAATGGAGATTTGTTAGGATGCACTATTGAAGTAAATTTAATTTAACAAAATTATACACAACCACGGTTATGCATAAAAAACTTTTATTGTAATACTTAAATGAAATGAAATTAATATAACCAAGATTTTAAATACGATTGTTTAAAATTGACATAATATTCTGAAACTATAAATGTTTAACTAATAATACAATACAGTTTATATATTTAATATAATTTAATCAGGGCAAACATTACGGCTTATTAATATTATTATAAAGTAAAAGTCGAACTAAAATGATAAAGTCTAAAAATTTTGTGGTTCCTTCCTAACTGTAGTGTAAATTCTAGGTTTTAATTTTATTTTTAAATCGTTAATTTCGTACTAAACGTTTAATTTCTCACAATATTTTATCTTTATTTTTGAAAAATAAAACTGGTGATTATTGCCCATTATTGTTGCTGAAGCTTGGGAGCCAAGACTCTGTTTTAAAATCCTGGTCAGAGACTTGAAAGCCATGACTTGGTTTTAAAAGTCTGGCTAAAGCCTGGCCATATATTTGATTGATACACGTACTTACCCATGTATGAAAAAAATAAAGTGGTCAAGATTGGGCCAGGATTGGTCCAATTTTACACTTCTCTGGCCCAAGATTTAAAGCTTAACTAGGCCGAGGTTGGGTGAGTCTCGAAATGATAACTTCGTGCCAAGCCTGGCATAGTGGTATTATGCCAAGACTAATAATGAACCTCTGCACCAGGACAATATATTAAGGCCTGGCAAAAGTTGGGTGGTAAGAACAGACCAAGGCTTGGGAGCTAAGGCTTGGTCTTGAAAGTCTGGCTGAAGCTAGGTCAGAGACTTGAAAGCTAAGGCTTGGTCTTAAAAGTCTGGCTGAAGCTTGGTCAGAGACTTGGAAGCCAAGACTCGGGTTTTAAAACCTGGCCGAGGCCTGGGCCAATATATCTAATACGTTAAAGGGCAGCACAACGTACAGCCAAGCTTGGCCCTGTTCTCTGTCTTGGAATTTTCTACACGGATAGGCCACATTTCGCCCTTTGCACTACCTCCAAACCAGTGGCGGCTGGTGGATTTTAAGTATACCAATATCTCAGTTATTAGACATGGGACCCACACCAAATTTATAGTAGTTTATATTGACATTAAATAAACAAGTTCGGCGCAAACAGAATTTAAATTGAAGTTTGCGAAAAAAAGTTAGTTTTTCCTGTCGCCTACCCTGCCTCCAGGCCCCTCTATTTGAGATAATTCAAATTAAAGTGGTGCAATTTATTATCTACTATAATTTATCGACAAATTTAAAATTTTATTCAAAAAATCCAAATATTACAGATTTTATTCGATTTTAAATTTTTATTATTTATTTTATTAAAATAAAAAATTATTTAAAATGGTATAAAAACTGTAATATTTGGATTTTTTGAATAAAATTTTAAATTTGTCGATAAATTATAGTAGATAATAAATTGCACCACTTTAATTTGAATTATCTCAAAAAGGGGGGCCTGGAGGCAGGGTAGGCGACAGGAAAAACTAACTTTTTTTCGCAAACTTCAATTTAAATTCTGTTTGCGCCGAACTTGTTTATTTAATGTCAATATAAACTATTATAAATTTGGTGTGGGTCCCATGTCTAATAACTGAGATATTGGTATACTTAAAATCCACCAGCCGCCACTGCTCCAAACACAATCCATTTATATATTTTTTTATTTTGAGGGTATACATTCAATTCAATTGTTCATTATTATTATTAACTAAAATTTAAAAGTCGAACATTTCGAATTTTAGGGTTTAAATATCATTGTTTGGGATGGTTAAAAAACATTTTTTTTATTCAAACCCTCTGAAAAAAGGTATGGCAATGTAAACCGATTTGCGTGAAAAATTACCAAATCAGCTATTAAAAAAGTTATAGATTAATTTCTTACACAGAGACATTTTTTATTTTTACAAACAAATATTTTGTGTAAAAAATGTAAAATAGTAATTGACTTTTTCCTTGTTAATTTTTCTTATACATTCTTCTCTTTACTTTTACCTTTATACATTTTCCTTCTTTTGTGAGCCATAAGGTCCAGGGATTTTGTGATCAAACTCTATCACTTGTTCCCCTTTACTTGACACTCTTAAACTACTAATTCCTACGACATCGCTTTATCTATACTTATAAGCCAACCTTTCTAGAAAATTCTCGATTGCCAACTCTATCGACTACGATGAAACTTCTCTGTAATTCTTTCTTTTCGATGTATCTTATTCTGGATAATTTTTAACGTAATTAATTAATTTATGCATAAACGTAACATACTTTTAAACTTTCTTTCTCCTATAACTCTATTATATTAAAGCGTAAATATTGCCCATTTAGTTAATTCTAGTTTATCATGATTATGAAGAAAGTCATCACGACTTATGGAGTAAAGTCTAAATTTCTGTTAGGTATCCAGGTGTATAGAAAATAATTATTTTATTATTGTGGAGGTTTGTGAATTAACAATTGAGACAATTTTAATTTCAGAACATTGAAAATCTTCTTTCCATACCAACCGGTTGTGGAGAGCAAATAATGGCTTCAGTAGCTCCAAATTTGTATATTTTACGATACTTAGAAGCAACCAATAAATTAACAACTGCTTTAAAAGCAAAAATAATTAAAAATTTAAAAATAGGTACTATAAGCTCAATTATCTAATGCAAACTTACTAAACATATTGTTTTAGGCTATCAAAGAATTTTAAATTACTGTCATAAAGACGGTTCTTTTTCTGCTTTCGGTTATCATGACCCATCCGGTTCAATGTTTCTAACCGCTTTCGTTGTTAGAACTCTTAAAGAAGCCAAAAATTACATCTACGTGGATCAAAGGATTTTGGACAGAGCCTTGCACTGGATTTACAAACATCAACTGGAGAATGGATGTTTTAACGCTATGCTGCACGTTTTTCAGGATATGGGAGGTGCAAGTACTGAAAATAGTACTGCAACCCTGACCGCTTATGTGATGCTTACGCTGGAAGAAGCAAATGTTAATATACCATCCGATGTTAAAAAAAACGCTAAATATTGCATAAGGAGTTTAGAAAATCCTGATAAATATTCTTTGGCTATAAGTTGCTACGCTCTTTTTAAAGTCAACTGGTTCAGCGAGGCATCCAGGATGTTAAAAAGGTTAATGCTCATGTCAAACCAACAACAGAATTTGATTTGGTGGAGTAACAAAGGTAGTAAACATGTTTTTGGAATTTTTATATAATTAAAATTAATAGTAAAAAGGAAAACATTGTAGTACCCCAGGGACCCGGACCCAAATGAAATAACGGTTCCGGTCCGGTTCCGGTTCCGAGAGAAACGACAAATTTCGGTTCGGGTTCAGTTACTTTCAGGTACCTACGGTTCCAAAAAAATATTTCTATCCGGTTCGGACCAATCTTTTCGGTTCCAATTTTTTTTACCAAGTATAAATAAGTACCTACTTAAATTATAAAATGACATTTTTTTTGGCATTTAATTAAATTACTTTGTCTCTTTTTTTCAAATCAGATTCTTAAATTTTAGGCTCTTTATCCTCTTTTTCTTTACTTTTATTCTTGATCAGCTGGCTACCTTTATCTTTTTCTTCTAATCTTGTGATGGAAAAACTGAAAAAATCATATTTGAAATAAGGTATCCAAAAATAAAAACTTTCAGCTTTTTTTCTTCTTTTTTGCAACTTCATATAGATGCGAACTATTTAAGGGACATTGTTTTCTCTCTAGGCAATATTTGCAATGCTATTTTAGGTACCTAAATATTAAAGTTAGTTAAAGTGACTATAAAGGTAAAATAAGAAACAATAATGTACCTAAGAAAAGTCGTTGTCCATTATAAAAATTAAAAAAACACTCATTTAAACAGTTCGAATAAAACTCAACAAAACAAACACTACGATACAAATTTTTATATTTCCTAAGCAAAACAAAATACATATATTTTTTAATTTTTGCAAAAAGAAATTAAGAAAAAATCAAAAATAACCTAAAAACCCGTTTTAAATTTAAAGGGTTCGTGTTCGGTCTCTAAAGTTACATTTAAAAATAATATGGGTTCGGTTACGGTTCCGGTCCACAAATAAATACCGGTTCCGGTCCGCTTTTCTGTCCAAAAACGGTCCGGTCCGGTCCGGGACCCTGGTCCAAAGTAACACTTTGATCAAAAAGTCTCCTTTAATTAGTCCATCGCGTATCTACTTTCTCCTTGCCTTAACATTTATTTTTCTGTAGCATCTTTTTAAGTTTTGAGATCTTGCGAATGAAGACAAATGAAGTTTGAATTAGTGCCCTTTTTTTCATTGTTACCATTGAATTGAAACATAGAGCCTTATCTTTGTAAAATAGCAGTTTAATTGCATTTAAGGTAGTTTCTTTTTAATTTTATCGTTCAATCGCTTCAATTACCCTATGTAGTATTGGCTATTGTTATTTTATAATATCTTTTTAAAATCATCGACATGTTGTTTTTAAACCATTTTAAGGAAGCACGGTAGGCAGAGTTTTTTACTATAAATATATTTTTGCAATTTAAACTAACTTACGCACTTTCATTTCACGGTCTTCCAAAATTTTATGGATTTTTAAAATCGACATCGTGTACCATTGAGTAACATCAATTATATCAAAAATATTCACTTTCATCGGATTCGTCGACTGTTAGATAACAGCAACCATGCGTATTATAAAAATTGTTCATTAGATTTCTCACTAAATAGGAATATTTAAATTTGTATTTCAGATAGTGCAGATTTAACCGCAACAGATTTGGAAATAACTGGATATGTCCTTTTATCGCTTTTGCATCGCAATACCTCCGAAAATTTGGCAAATGCGCATTCTGTTGTAAGGTGGTTGACGTCCAAACAAGGACCAAGAGGTGGTTTCAAAACAACCCAGGTATATTAAAAAAATATTTACCCAGTACATTTAAATTAAATCATAATTGCTTAGGATACAGTGGTGGTCCTAGATGCCTTATCCAAATACGCCACTATACTTAATGAAAAAAGATTGAACGCTCAAGTACAAGTTTACACCAATAAAAAGGATTTTAAATTCTTAATCAGAAAAGAGGATAAAATGAAATCAAAAAGAATTCTACTGGGAGAAACTAACGACAATATTCAAATTAATGTAACAGGGGATGGTTGTATACTAGCCCAAGTATAATTTAAAACATATAATTTTTTTTATAATAATAAGCCTTCTTTTAGCTTATTCTTTCGCACTACATTAAAACAATTAAAAAGAGCGATGCATTTAAATTAGATCTCGACATTGCTCCAGTTTCTACAACCGACCCTTGCTCAATAACATCATTTTCACCCTGTGTAGCTTACACAGGACCTGATACTCAATCAAACATGGCGGTTTTGGAAGTGTCACTTCCTTCTGGTTACACCGCAGATAGATCCTCTTTATATAAACTAGTTGATGTCCAAGGCGAAACAAGTAGGTAACTAATAAAACATATAATTAAATTTTACTTATACTGGAGTTGCAGGAATTAAGATGTTTGAAGAGGTTAAAAATCAAGTTGTGTTGTACTTTACAAAATTAAACAACGAGCAAGTTTGTTTTACGTTTAACATAAACGAAAATTCTGTAGTAGAAACAAGAAAGGATTCTGTTATTAAATTGTATGATTACTATAAGCCTGAATATGAAAATGTTCAATTATATCAAATGAATAAAGATTGTTCTTTAAAGAATAAGCGTCTACCTGCTTTGGGTAATATATTTAGATTCTATGAAAATTTAATATTTTTTTTCTTTTTTTAGAAAATTCTCATCGTTTAATAAACTTTACCAATGACATTATAGATGGTGAGCCTACTACTAACAAAACCTTTGCGAATGATAGTAATGAACAGACAAATATTTCAGAAGATGTAAATATTACTTTTGTTAAAGATTTCAGTAGGTTTTGTCATGTTTAATTGTGAAATATCGTTTAAAATTAATTTTTAAGGTAATGAAAATATGCAACCTAAAATAATAAAACGTGATATTCGGAAAGAAAATATTAACAACAATTTGCTAAGAATAAAAAGGCAACTAAAAACTGATAAATTAGGTTTAAATTCAGATTTTGTAGATATGGATATGGAAATGGCTACACCAAATGGTAAATAGAATAACAACTTTAAAATTAAAAATCATTATTATTTTTAGGAATGGAGGGAACCAAACCAATTTATGTTAAACCTGGCCAACAGTTATTAGAAAATATAAGAAAAGAACCCTAATATTATTTAGCTTTATTTATTACTATTAATTTTATATACGTAGGTGTATAATCAATAAATTTGGTAAATTACACAATTGTTTTTTATTTTCAGATGTGTTATAATAATACTATGAGGGGCCGTTTGCATCAAAATTATGTTATGCTTAAATAGATAAAAATTGCATATATATTTGCAAAAATTCAGTTACAAATATAAAGTTTCGTTTTGGTACATATATAGAATTGCAAAAGTTCAGGTATACCTGTATACAAAGTTTTGTTTTGGTACACATATATGCAAAGATGTGGGTACAATTATAGAATATAATATAATGTTATATAAAAGTGGCGCCGGAAGGCTTGTTGTGTGTGTTTAGAGCTCAACACACGTGAAGATTCTATGTGTCGAATTCAACACATGGAATGCGATAATCAAAAAAAAATTTTTCGGATCTTTAAAATTCACTTAACCCAACCTAACAATATAGATATGCTCATTTGGCTGCAGATTAAAATCGTACGTGCGAAACATGGGACATGGGACATGAAACATTTGAATATTGTTGCAATATTACATATTTACCACGAGTTGGCAGACAACATAAGTAGATAATAAAGGAGAGACCTAGCACACCAAATTAACATTATGAGAGATCTACCTCACTTTTAAACATTAAATTAATTCTTTCTCACTTATATATATACAGGGTGGTCCAGGTTATAGTAGCAATAATTCACCATTCGATAGTCCATCGAAAAATTAGTCGACATGCATGGTAATTTTTTTTTCCAAAACCCCTCCTAAGGGAGATACAGCCCTTCAAAGTTGAGTTTTAAAAATCTTTTTTTGTCATAACTCTCAGGAAATAAAAGCGTTTTTGACCAAATTTGGTACAAGTACTTATGAAATAGGTACTCGTTACCTGACGTAAGTAACTTTTGTCAAAATTGTCCAGTGACGTAGATACAGGGGGGTTGTTTCACTTTTTCCACCCCATTTTTTACGCCACTGGATATTGGTTTAAATTGACCTATTTTTCTAATTCCTTGTTCAATTTTGAGAAAAAAAGCCACTCTTGTCAAATTTTGATTTAAGGCTTTGTTTACGAGATAATTGAGTTTAAAAAAACATACAGTCCTGCAAAGTTCAGTTTTAAATATCTTTTTTTTTGTCATAACTCTAAATCTAAGATCGCTAAAGCGTTTTTTACCAACTTTGATACAAGTACTTATGAAGTAGATACTCGTTACTTGACCCAAGTAACTTTTGTCAAAATTGTCCATTGGCGTACATACAGGGGTTGTTTCACTTTTTCCGCCCAGGATTTCACTGAAAAATAACTCGACATGCATTGTTTTATTTTCTTCAAAACTTCCTCAGAAAAGACATAAAGCCCTTCAAAATTCAATTTTAAGATTTATCTTTTCGTATAAGAATATTTGATTAAATTTGGTATTTAAAATAGGTAAGTAATCAACACTTGAAGTATTTTTAGTTAGCAGTATATTAGGCATGCGTTTAAGTCGGTTGTGTTTTAAAAAGTGCTCCGAGTTATAAGCATAAATAATGGATTTTAAAGTAATGTTATCTGGAAATTTTACAAAATGATTTTTTAGTGTATTAATAGTTAAAAAAGCTAAATACAGTTGTGTTAAAGTGTGATGGTAATGGAAGATTATACATTTGTTATAACGTTTTATCATTCTAAAGACAAGTTTAACAAAACAAAAAGTGTATAGTCGTAAAAACAGTAAATATAAAAACAATAAACTAGATCTTATCTAAAAATAAAAGTTTTCTCACGGTGAGATTCGAGCTCGAGTCGGTGCGGTCCGCCGTGCTGTGGCGTTTGTTCTCTTGCTGGTTGTGCTACCGAGGACTTGGTATTATTTATATGCAATGGCTGACAAAAATACTAAACCTTGTAAAAAGTGCCAATCTGTGCCTAAAATATTTTTTAGATGCATAAACTGCGATTCTGTAATGCATGAAAGTTGTGCAAAACTAAAAAATGCCAAGTTTTTAAAGGATAATGAAATTATATGTTGTAATGATATTGTTCAAGATATTACGCATACAAATTTAAATCCAATAAATACACCTTCAGTAATTTCTGATAATCCATTAGGGTAGAAGCACCTGTTTTGGCCACCGACCCCGTTGTGGCCAATTCGTTCGATTTTTTTTAAATATTAAGGGAACTGTTTACAAATATCCCTGAATCTAATTTTCCGCCGAATCCTTGGGTTATTGTTTTTGCTTTAGTGCATTCAGTTTATTTATATGCAATGGCTGACAAAAATACTAAACCTTGTAAAAAGTGCCAATCTGTGCCTAAAATATTTTTTAGATGCATAAACTGCGATTCTGTAATGCATGAAAGTTGTGCAAAACTAAAAAATGCCAAGTTTTTAAAGGATAATGAAATTATATGTTGTAATGATATTGTTCAAGATATTACGCATACAAATTTAAATCCAATAAATACACCTTCAGTAATTTCTGATAATCCTAGTTGTTGAAATACACTACCTAAAGGAGATTATTCTGCAAAGAGAAGAATTAATTGATAGTCAAAAATTAATAATTCAATCATTAAATGACCAAATTAAATTAATTAACAAAGTTAATACAAATAGTTTAAAAGTAGATCAATCCCAAAATAAAAAAACCATTACCAAGAAACCAAACCAGGCAAATAATATTAATATTACAAATAAACCAATTCAAGAAAGTAATATTAATATTAAAGAAAAAGTAGATAAAGCTGAGGCTTCAACATCAAAGGAAATTTCATCCCAGAGTGTATCTCTAACAATTCTTGAAAATGCAACAAAAAATGCTTGCGAAAAATTTATTAATATTAATAAACCTGTGGTGTCGAATTCAGGATATGCAAATGCAGTTAAAAAGCCTTTCAAGAATATTGTTGTGGGCAAACAAAACCCGTCTAGTTGCTCACTAAAGGTTGTTCCGAAAAAATCTTTTGTCTATGTTACTAGACTAGATCCTGAGACGAAAGTGGAGGATTTAATTAAATATTTAAGGGATAGTTTTCCAGAAATTGCTTGCGAAGTGGTTGTTTCTAAATTTCCAAAGCACTATTCTTCATTTAAGTTGACGGTTGACCTTCCCAATTTCGAAAAGATTATGGATCCGGGCCTATGGCCTGACGGAGCCCATTTGTCGAGGTTTTTTCACCCAAAAGTAAAAACCAAGCCACCAACATAAAACATGGTATAACCATATATTATCAAAATGTTCGGGGTTTACGAACTAAAATATCAGAACTCTTCAAAAACGTTTCGTGTACAAATTTCGATGTTATTTGTTTTACTGAAACCTGGTTAAACAGTGATATCCAAAACGAGGAATTTGGTCTATCTTCTTATAATATTTATAGGACTGATAGAAATTCTGCAACTAGCAAGCATCAACGAGGTGGAGGAGTCCTAATCGCTGTTAAAAAGTCATTTGTGTCATTTTGTGTAAGTGTTCAAGAAGTTAAGGTGGAGCAACTGTTTGTGCATGTCAAAAGTCAATTAATTGGTACTGTTTATATTCCACCTCAGTCCTTATCTGAGGTGTATGAGTCACATTGCGCTAGTGTTGAGTCTATAATTGATAGGCTAGATAGTAATGTAACTTCAGTAATCTTGGGCGATTATAATTTACCCAATGTAAACTGGGAAAACGAAGATCTTGGAGTTCGGGCTTCTGGTGTTTTATCCGAAAGTTCCAATATTGTTTCAAATTGTTTTGCTCATTGCAACCATTATCAAATTAATACTATAAAAAATATATATAACAAAATGTTAGACCTTGTTTTTTCAAATGATTGTAATTTTAGTTTGGAAATTGCCAGGGAAACCTTATTGCCGTGTGATAATTATCATCCGGCAATTTGTTTACATAAAAACCTATCCAAAGATAAGAGGGACATAAAATTTGATCATTTTTATTTAGATTTTAAAAATGCTGACTTTAATTCCCTAAATAGTCACCTTAGCATAATAAATTGGGACCTTATTTTTTCTAGTCAAAATGTAAATATATGTGTAAATTATTTTTATGAAGTTTTGGAATATATGTTTAGTTTGTATGTGCCTGTAAAAAAAGCTTTTAATCCCAAATACCCCTTATGGTTTAGTCAGGAACTAAAAGATTTAATAGTAAAAAAAAAGATTGTCCATAAAAAGTATAAGCAAACTCCCAGTCAGAGTAACTTTATAGAGTTTAGTCAATTAAGAAGTCAATGCAAAGTTGTAACTAACCTGTGTTATAGAAATTATATAAACTTAAATGAATATAATATAAATTGTAACCCCAAATTGTTTTGGAATTATATTAATAGTAAACAATCTAACAATTCAATTCCCAGTAAAATGAAATATAATAATTTGGAGACTGATGATCCCATACAGATTGCTAATTTTTTTGCAGATTGCTTTGGTTCTGTTTATACTGATAACTGTGATAAAGCTGTACCTTCTTTTAATTATACAAATACCGTAGATTTAAGTTACTGTTCTCTTTCTGAATGTGATGTATTTAAAGAATTGTGTATGTTAAGTGTTGATAAGGGTACGGGTCCTGATGGTGTTCCTCCTTTAGTTTTAAAAAATTGTCGATTTTCATTAGTTAAGCCATTAACAAAACTGTTTAATTTATCGTTAACTAATTGTGAGTTTCCTGATAAGTGGAAAAAGAGTTTTGTGATTCCATTATTTAAAAATGGTGACAAAAGTGATATTGGGAACTATAGACCAATATCAAAAATTTCACAAATTTCCAAAATAATGGAGAAAATTATAACAACAAAAATAACCCCGCTGTTTAGAAATATTTTAGTTGATGAACAGCATGGATTTAGTGAAGGAAGGTCTACTTTAACAAACCTTCTAGTGTATGAGCAAGACTTGTTGGATGCCCTAGAGAATCGAAGCCAGATAGATGCTGTCTACACTGATTTTTCTAAGGCATTTGATACTGTTAACCATACCATACTTCTAGCAAAGATTAATGCATTAGGTATAAAAAAGTTATTTAAACTTGAGGACTCAAACTGTTTTGTTACAAAATCAATATA